ACGAGACTGGTGCCTAAAACCAGCGCCTTAGACCGCTCGGCCACGCTACCAGATGAATTATATTATTTTGAAGACGGTAGTTTAGATGAGCAGAAGCAGCACTTGGAAAATAAAAGAGATTCACAGCGGTGGGATTGGAACCCACGCCTCTGACGAGACTGATGCCTTATACCATCGCCTTAGATCGCTCGGCCACGCCACATATGAAATGGAAATCCGTGCTCATGCATATTCCCTATTGTTGTTTTTYATTGCAGATTTCAGACGCTAACATAAAAAGAACAGCAAAGAGTCAGGAAATACGATTTTGGTAAGTCCAACTAATTGTTTACATTAATTAAACCAATAACAAGACGATGACCTAGTGTTGTTTTCCAAAGTACAACCCCCCTAGCCTATGTGTGTGTTTTAAACGGAATAGAGAAGTAAAATGGAGTTGATTTATAAAAATATAAGACCATTGATGTTAGGTATTTTCTTTTTTTCGCTAACCAAAAGTAACCACCGTTGCACTTGAAATCGGAAATGGTTTATATGACATGAAACAAAAACTACTTTTCTACTTTTTTTATAATTCCAATATGATATTGAGCCTGACTATACTCACAGTGACCATTAAAAAGTACTTGATTCAGCCCAGTTACTGTGTAGGGTGTTCCAAGTTTCCGGTTATGAAGGCCCTGTCTACACTAATGTGCTTTCGTGTGAAAACGCATTTATCGATACCTTTTGGCCCTGTGTTCATTGACTAAAAGTTTGATAACGCTTGCCAATTAAAAACGCTCTCCAGGGTCCATGCATTCTAAAAAGGAGGTCTACCGTATTATCGTGGACAGGTGAAAATGGAGGCGGCTCTGTTTTGGAAACGTTAACGTCAGTTACATGAGCACAGCTGTTTTTGCGCATGCACATATTGTGATATTGCATCATTTCCGATCGTATCTGTCTGTTTAATCCTTTTAGCGTGAAACGGAGTAAACTATGTCAAACGTGAAACTTTTAAAACTTTTTCTGTGAATCGAAAAAAAAAGCGTTTTCAAAAATGCATTAGAATGGACGGAGCCATTGTGCAAAGGGCAGGTAGAATTACAGGAGGCGATTTTCTATAGTCTTATTTGTGTTATGTAGGAAGAAGGAAGGCGAATCAATTGTGGGTTTTACCGGCTGTAACATTCTCATTGGATTTCATGGTCAAGGATATTCTCAGATGGATGATGTCGTATCATATTTGGAACAGGCTACAGATATCATTTCAGATCTGAATTCTTCTTCAAACGAAGGTACTATGTGCTTTAAAATAAGAGACTGATAGGGAAGCAAGCTAGACTAACGCTGAGCAACAGAGAACTCAAAACTGGGGTATTGCACCCAAACTTAGCTGTAACTATTTTGAATGTGACCAGACTACCAACAACATAAAATGAAGAAATCAATTGTTTGTTTTTACTGCACTTCATTTTTATAGCAACTGCGAAGAGTTTTTTTTTTTTTTTTTCACAAGGATGCTTTTCGGTTCAATTTATAAACAAATATCAATACATTAACTATATTTAGAGAGGGTGACACGTCACTGTCGTAAGTGATAAACTTATGGCCCTCTATGTCAACTCTTTGAATCAGACAGGACCGCCATTTTACGTAGTCATCCGAGCCACGGCCAAGGTCTACCTTTGCAGTTAAATTTTAGAGCAAAGAAAACACTTATACTCATCGATATTTTAAGAAGTTTAGTGCCCACCCAACTGAGCCAACACGACTTATCATATATCAACAGTTTACTTAAAAGGACCACAGCCAGTAGAAGTAAGCATATATGGCAACTCAATGAAGATAAACATCCAGTGGAATCCGGGAGACAAGAACCTTACTCACGGAATTCTACAAAAATACGTGTTGTTTTACGTCAACGGTGAGGATCCTTCAGACCAAGGTCATGTTGACGTGGTGCAGGACGAGCTAGGTGATTCTACCAATTATAATATGACAGTAACAAAATATTTCTCTCGGTATGTGGTGTCTGTGAGGGTTGATACACTCGAAGGAGAAGGCAAAGTGTCTAAAGGCGTCAACATCACCACTGGAATTCTCGGTGAGTTGGACTGACATGGTAAACGGCGCCATCATAACTTTTTGGGGTTTCGGGGAGGGGAGGGGGGCTATGGGAAATTAAGAGAGCAAGAGAAGGCTCTTCTTCCATATGCATTTAGATTTTGAGTTATCCTATTGTAATTCTAGCTCCTCTTGGTACTCCTCAAACTGTGCATAGTTGGAATCTCTCATCAGTGTCTATCGCAGTCAGCTGGACCGACATAAATAAGACCTACCTACGGGGACCTATTGCTGGATACAGCATTCGTATTAACTTAGCTGATTCATCAGAGAGAGCATGGGAGTCTTCTAAATTTCAGTCAATACTACGCAACAAATCTGTTATATTTGAAGGCCTTTATAAGTACACCAAGTACAATGTACATGTAGCTGGAGTAGCAAAAGAAAATCAATTTGGTCCTTACATTCAAGGTTCTGTTTGGACTGGAGAGGATGGTGAGTTTTGTTAGTAAATTGGTATTATAGACCTCTCTCTATTTTCCTTGCAAGCTAAAGCGCCAAACAATAGGCAGTTGCAGATATTAAAAAAAGAATGCTCAAAATTAATTAAACCTGAAAAGGATTAGTATAGATATAGTGGTGTATATTCGACTAGAACGTTTGTGAATAGTGAACTGACTAATATTTCTACCAAACATTTCTTATTCAGTATTGTCGAAAGATAAGAACATGGTATACGGTATAGATTACTTTATTCCTACCAAAAGATATATTTGGTGGTGCACGTGTTTTGCCATACATGATGTGCTATTCCACTAAAGCCTCGCGCACAATCAAGTCTGAATTTTAAGAAATCAAACGGACGAGGACTATAATTCCAGTCGAGTGTTTCGATAAAAGATAAAAGTAAATGAGCAAAAAAACATCAATTCCCATTTGATTCACCACTTCCCCATACCCGGTTTCACTTGTTAAACACGAAGTATTCAATCAAGGCTACAATGTTCGCATATTTGAATAATCTCTCTTGAAACTACCTTGAATTCTCGATTTAATAGTTTTTGTGTGACCAGTGAATTCCAAAGGTTTCGAATTCCAATTATCGAATACGTCTTTCAGTTTTGTCATTTCAGTTTCAGTTTCATTAAGTCATTAAGAAACGGCCAACAATCAGTATGCATCCATTGACTTATGGAAGCACTTAGTCGGCTTATAAAGGCTCTAAACGCTTTAATAAGCTTTATCCATTTAATTTATTATATTTCACCTTCTTATTTCAGCATATTTGGGAGAGGGTTGTTGACAAGCTGTAGCATGCCTGCGCTATGTCATCAAAATGCAAAATTGGTATCGAATTTTCCTTGACACGATCTCATCAGTCCAAAACTCTCCTTACCTAGTTGTTTTATGTTAACAATTCATTTCACGTACGTTGCAGCCCCAGAAATGGCTCCATCCCAACTATCTGCGGAAGCAGTCGACTCTACAAGTATCATCGTCAATTGGACAGAAATTCAAGCAAACAAGCGCAATGGGATCATTATTGGGTACAGTGTGAAATGGAAGGAAGTAAATTTTGACAGTGAAGCCGGGAATATCTCTGTTCCAGCGACGCCATTATCCTACACCGTAACAGGGCTAAAAATATTTACATACTACAAAGTATTTGTAGCAGGATTTACTGTTATCGGTATTGGACCCTACAAGGAAACTGTCGACGTCCGAACAGGAGAAGACAGTAAGTTATTTTGAATTAATATCACTATTGCCATATTGAAAAAAAAAAGATAAAACGACTTGGCTATTAGCCATTACAAGCCGGTTGAGCAAAAAAACTGGATCAAATGGGTATTGCAGCGCATTGTGGGGCCCTTTTAAGTGACAAAATAGATGATGTCAATATGTTCCCTAAAACAGTTCCAAAAAAATTGCAATAAAACTTGACCAAGTGTTTTCTTCCACCTCGGAAGTGCAAATAGGTTTTTAACAGTGAATTATATATTTAGAAAAGCAGGCACTAATTGATGCATGAATGACATTGTTCTTCAGTTCCCGATGCATCTCCGAATATAACTAAAGCGTACAATGCAAGCTCCACTAGCCTTTTCGTAATGTGGCAAGCAATTCCTGAGCAAAACAGAAATGGAATATTGCAAGGTTATGTTTTTGAAGTTTGCAAAGAAGACGGAACATTTGAGAAGTTGTTCTACCACAACAGCTCGTCCCTTGAAGCCCGCATCACCGGTTTGTCAAAGTACCAGACCTACCAGATAAAAATTGCTGGCTTTACCTCCAAAGGCAGAGGGAATTTCAGTTTGCCTGTTATTGCCACCACTGACGAAGATGGTAAGTAATAAAACCTGGAGCAGATGGTTATGGGCAGTCTTGGTTCTAGTACGTCGGGCTTTCTTTCTACTATGTTGTATTTCGAGTGCACGCTATATATCCGTCTAGTTGCAGCTTTTTTTGTACAACATAGAGAATACTCACAAGAGCAGGATTTTCGAACATTGGGAACAAAAACATATAATACCTCTACGCGTTTCATGCTTGAGTGAATTCGACAGCTAAATATGATGATACCTAAATTTTATTAACTTGTAGATTCTATCAGTCTTTGGATTCCCAAACATGATAATGAGCAGATAGCAACTTCTAGTCATATAACAAAGGAATTCAAATTGGTGGATACCATCCAGTTATTACATTATTTTCACCATCAAAAATGCCATTCACCTTAAAGCGCGGCTAAGTTTTGGACACACGAATTTTGCCAAGGTTGTAATCAAGCTGCAGTACTGAACTGTTATTCTGGGAGAAACGTCGCCGAAGGGGAGGTGGGTGGGGACAGAAATCTGTCTAGCGTCTAGTACAGTGTAACTTAGCAAATGAGGCCGAAACCATAATATTTTCCGGCCTTTCTCGCTTTTCCTGCGACCTGGGCCGGGATAGYATTGACAAACCTCCTTTCTTTGTTTGTAATAGTACCAGAAAGCCCACCTCGAAACATCTCTAAACAAAAGGAAGAGTCCAACGCAGTTACTCTAGCCTGGCAGCCACCATCAAGTAAACAGGCCAACGGTATAATACTTGGCTACAACATAACACTGAAAGATCTGTTGAGGGACAAGATCTCGTATAAGAGGGTTAACACGTCTACTCATCTACGCATCGATGGGTTGTATCCCTACACTGATTATGAGATCACCATTAGGGCATTCACGAGAAAAGGAGATGGAATCGTTAGTGAGAAAATAGCCATCAAAACTGAACCGAGTGGTAAGTATAACTCTAAGTAAATAGAGTAGATTATATATATTCGTGAAATGTCAGAGCATACGTTATAGTAGGAATGGACTACTTCAACCAAGGGGATGGTACTCCCCTATATTTGCTATACGGGTATGTGCCGCCCTATAAGGCATGGTTTTTCGGCTTTTGGGTCGGGGGTAGGGTATCATTTTTTGACATTTTATCTGGGATAGGGTGTCAATTTAGCCAGGGATAGGGTTAACGATTTGGTCGTTTTTGTCTGGCTAATAGGCTAAGCTTTCTGTCCACACAAAAACAATAAAAATGTTAGTAAATATTGATTGCAATCGATTGTAAAACCGTATTTTCCGTCTTTTAGTCTGGGATAGGGTGTACAATTCTTAGTTGTAGTTCGGGGTAGGGTATGTAAAATCAAAATTTTAGGTCTGTGATAGGGTCAGGGTTTTGAGGTCCTGGCGGCACACCCCTACCCAAGTTGGGGTGGTAGTAC